CCAACCATTATATTACAGGAGCGGAATCGAGCAGTTTAAGTAAAGCTCGTTTGAATTAACCAAATTAATTTCGTCTTCGTTTATAGAACCGAATCCATTGGAACGCATTACAGACTACTAAAAAAGATAAAATCTAAAAACAAAATGTTATCAACGTAACGCACGTATGTAAATCTATTATATCTGCTATGCGTAAGAAAATTAAAAGAAAAAAGCAGAACTGCGTAACACCTTGTACACAAATAAACGTTTTAAGTTGCATTTTAGCGTTTCAGATATCCACTTTAAAGTATACTTTCCTTTTCTGCTTAAACTAATTAGACTGATGGTAGTAGAAGTAAAGTAGCAGTCGAAAATATTTAAACCTTCCTTTTGGCCCTATTTATTATTATTTTTATCGTATCTGCAAAATTTACAGATCGCACACCTAGATCTGAAGTGCGATCAACTCAAAAAAAAAATAATGTATGGCGATTTTTTTGCATAAATCAATTCAGACTTACATTCAATTAATGCGAATAACTGATTATATACATCAACTAAAAAAAACTACTGTTATACGTGTTTTTGTATTAATTGCGTTGAATCCGTACGATCCACAAGCAGTTATATTTCCCCGTCTGAATTTTGAGTTGCCTCACTTTAGATCTAGGTGTGCGATATGATCGTCATATTGTTCATTATATTATATTTAAAATATTTATTTAATAAAAAGTGTGCCTAAGTCGAAAGTAAATTTGCATAGGAACTATTGTAAATGTTTTAAGCTGTTGTAGCCAGTGATTGTGATACCATTCTTGTCATTTTGTTCAGTTTGAAGCAAAAAATTATACTGATTCGACACACACGATAACTCGAGCTACGTAATTGCCGCAATATTGCAGCCTTGTTGCTTTCTTGATGATATATTGCTGATGCTCAACTGAAAATATTTGAAATACCGCAGAAATTGTGTAGTAAAAATTTGTATAATGCTTTTGATTTCCCAATGATAAGACACTGATTGTCAAAATTTTGTTCCTCGAACGCTTTATGCAGGCAGAGTTGCGTAAAACTTGATGCTTCTTCATAAAAAGTAGCACTGCCGCATTAGTTGGAGCTCGAATACACCCCATGTTGGCTTATGTCGCACTGTCGAAATCAAATCGTCACAGCTTGTGTTGCGTATTTTATTCGCTTAACCCATAATGTATATGATATTTCGTTATTATTTATTTTGCTATAACTTTATACATATTTCAAATATTAGTATTTTTATTGAAATCCGTGCTAAATTTCACATAAATTCTACTGTTATGTGAATTCATTTTCGATGAGGCTCATTTTTTTAAACTCAACATATGTACTTTTTTGCGTATATTCTATTATATTTTCGTTTTCATTTCTTTACTACTATTTAAAAAACAAAGTAACTACATAAACATACATATATACATGTACTTTAAAATGTGTGGATTTTAAAAAGCTACAAATCCTTAAGACGTAGCTTACGACAATGTACTACATGTTTTAATTTAATATTTATTTAATATTATGATCACATCATTCAATCACTTTTTTTTGTGTTTGTTTGAACAGCTAATACTAAACTCGTTTACAGTGTTTTTGCAAAAATATGCTCATGAATCATAATTATACACACTAAATGTCTAAAAGAAGCATATAAACGCATGCATACGTAATTATTTTGTTTTTGGAAAAAATACAAAAAAATTGTAAAACCCTAAATAAATATTATTAGAAACTTACCTTCTCGAAGTGTATTTCTTGATTTTTATTACCAAATTCGCGGACAAAAAGAATCGTTATCAAAGTGAAAATGACATGAATACGTAATTATAAAATTCTATGGCTACATGCCAGCAGTCTCCAACGTTAGAGAAATTCGAATTCGTCGATGCCGAAGTTAGAGAAGTACATTAGTATTCGATTCGAGAGAAACAACGCAAATTCAAATAAGTGTAAATAAGCAATATTCCAAATCATAAATTATTTTTAAGTTCAAATAATTCATTATTATTTAATTGCCATGGAACGGATTTCATGGAAATTACCTTTTTTTCTGCTAAGGAGATAGAGTATATTCGAATAAGAATGTCCACGAATTAGCTTTTCCCCAATTCCATATATGCACATTTGATGTCGGCTTTTTTTTGTCTTTTTTAAGATATTTTCCCTTTTTTTGCCCTTTTTAAGAAATTTTCCCTTTTTTTTGCCTATTGTACCTTTAAAAAAGTGATTGCGAAGAGAAAAACCTTATTCCTGATATTATAAAAGTTTCAAACGTTCCATATTTAAATTGAGCGCCACTTGTATCAACTCTCGTCCAGCGCACGTTTAGTACATTCAAAGCTGTGTTAAAAGCCTGTTCTGTTACAAAAATATCAAGTTGATAATGGAGAAAATCGATGGATAAATAAAGAAGTAATAAGCGGTCATACGAAAATGCGCAGACTTTTTGTATGGAAAATTAACAGGAAAGAATGTTACTCATACGCCATGTACACCTGAAAATATCTCGAAACCTTCAGCCTCATTGCGTAGGTCGTAAATTAGGCTAAATTGTACGACTCGACAAGAGTAGCATTGTCTATTGTCGTAATGAAATAAGTAAACGACCAAAATCGTCGAAAACTATACAGTGCTGCCAAGTTTTACCGTTTTAATACACTAGTCGAGTGGAAATTTTAGGCAATGACGTGCAATTTTCGATACGATTCGACTCTCGAAAAACGACTGGCATTCGACACGACTCTCGCAATGGGGGTGCTTATCTATAGAATAACAAGGATTTTTTAGCAAATAAAAAAACCGACTTCAACTTTCATATAAAAAAAATATATATATATATATATCTCATGAGCCACTGATCGGATCTTAACCAGATTAGTATGGGACCACCTCTGATACACTACCTTTCCAATGCAAAACGAATTATCAAAATCGGTTGACGTGGTCCAAAATTATGCATACATAAAAAAAAAAATAAAAATATTCCGACGAACTGATAACCTCCTCCTTTTTTGTCGGTTAAAAAATTAACTCGGTTTTCGGAATCACCGATCAATTCTATATCGCATCCGCTGAATACTTTTCCTGTAAACTAGTGTTATTTTT